GTTACATTTTATAAACTTAGCTTTCTCTACTTTCTGTACGAAAACATAATAAAGATCTTGAAGGAATCGCATATCTAGTTTGTTTCTTTGTCAGTTAACTTGCATAATACACGTCAAGAGTCTCAAAAAGTGGCTCTGATGTCTCCAGTGGGGGGTCGGGTAGGGGCTTGTCGAAGCCTTCCTTTCCTATCAGCCAATAGGTGGTCACTAGACCCAATCTCTTCAGGACAGAAAGGAAATCCGTATTAGCAAAAAGTTAGTTGAGAACCAGATTGCTCGGATACGAAGAGTTTCAGAATACACAAAAATGGATAGTTCGTGTAAATTACATCAACAAGAACACGTTGACGTACAGTTCAACCTGATCCCCAGGGCCTTCTCCACTGTTCAAAATGCCGATTGCCATTTAAAAATCGTCGAGAAGGCCCTGGGGACGAGGTTGACGTCCAGTTTGGTAACATTCCTGGAAAAACTAAGTTTGTTAAATTGGTGTTAAATGTATTTGTTTCAGGTTTGGAAACCTAGTTTGGCTAATTTACCAAAAATGTCCAGGAATGATTGACAAAATCATTTCGTGTCCTTTGGCTTTGCGTTTCTCGTCTCGATCCGTGCCTCTTCTTGTCAAGGGGAGGGGGATAAAAAGAGAGAACGTGGGGTCGAAGTTGTTGCATTTGCTGGGCTAACCAATCGGAACGAAGCTTGCTTTCTTTGGCCAATGAGGCGAAAAACGAAAACCATCGTGGATTGGCTTTGCCGCTCTTTTCACGATGTCCTTGTTTCGCTTGGAACGTTTGCGAATGTTTTGGTCTGAGGGTTTTTCCTATTCATTTTTTTTTTTCAAAAACCTTCAGAATAGCGCTTAAAATTAAGTGCTAACCTTGATCTGAACTTGGCCTTTTTCTGTGACGTGATATCCCCCAAGTTCCACCAACCTGGAGCGGGCCTCTCGGCCCACATAGATACGGTGAGCTGTTAAAAACCAGATGAAATAAAAATGAGAATGCATTGACTCTCTGCCATTAAGGCATCGATTCTTTCATTTGTTACAATTTTCCAGCAGTATCTGATGATACTGATTTTGCTCGGCTTGGGTGCGTTCGGAAAACGTAATGGTTCCTACTGTGTGACATTGTAGCGGAATAACGCAACACGATGCGTGACATTGTAGTGGAATAACTTACGGAGACCACAACTTTCCATTTTGGATGGGATGTGGACAGTGTGACCGTACAGACAGAAGCGAGGCATTGTGACACCAACCCCTCCAGCAACAACTGGGCCTGAAAAAAAAAAACGATGAAAACAATACCGTCATCTTCTGAACAAGCTCAACCCCTTCCAACCCTCGCATGTTAAAGGCAAATTTTTTTCCACGTCAAAACCCTTCAGCTGTAATCCCGTTGCTTTCTATATTGTTTGTTTTAAAGGAGCTCAGTCACGGTATTTTGAGTTATTTTGGCCACGTACAGAATTAACTTTAAATCTGAATTGAAGGAAACCTGGAAATAATAGTTTACTTGGATAGAAAAACACCAAAGCACTTTTACGCTGGTACCTTGCTCAGTACTAATAAAAAGATTATCTCTTTATAACTTTCTGAGCTATTTTGTCATTTTTCCTCTTCCTTTTCTTTTTCTCTTTCTTTTTCTATTTCTTTTTATTAATAATCTCAAGTTATACATAACTTTTAGGGGCACAAAATTAGTTTATCTAGATGTGCCCCTCCCCTCTCCTTCCAATATACAATGTAATTCAATTTAAGTGATGTAATTTCTGTTTTATGCGTTTTTTTCTTCCTTACAAAGCACTATCGGTTACTATTTACTTTCTTTACATTACATTTACATATCTATGTATTAGCTAGGAATTGGAGGAATAAAATTTAAAAAAAAACAAAAAAAAAAAAACACCAAAGAGATAATAATACACCATAAAGGAACAAGGATGGTTAAGGATGGAGAAGATTCACAACGACCTTGAAAACTTTAGGCTCAACTTTTCAAGATGTGCGAGCCGTGACGTAGCTCCTGTAAGGTCTGCCGGCTTGTGTCGAAGTCATGTAAGCGAGCGGCGAAGAACCTCGAAGAAGAGCCGCGAAAGTATTGGTAAGGAGTCGAGTTGAGCCAGGTTTCGCGCAGGGAAGCAAAAGCGAAACGCCCTGGGACCACTCAGATACCTGTGTGGATTCCAATCCTGAGCTGCAGCTGATGATCTGGCAAATGACGCACTCTGAAAAAGAACATGTGACTTAGCAATTCCAGAGCCATGCTCGCGATCTCTCCCGCGTGTTTGATGCCATTCAGCTTAGGACAACCGCTGACCACAACGTATGCATCACCAACAGTCTCGACCTAAAAGGCAATGTGATCTGTTAAGGTTCTCCCTGACCCTTGCTTCTTCTTCTTACGTTCTCGGTCAAAATGGTGCGAGAGTATCGTTCCTATAGTGGAGCCAATAAAGCAACCTCGTTCCCAGGGTCTCTTTCTAGAAAGAGACCCTGGGAACGAGGTTTCCATAAAAGATCAAGAAACGTCTGGGAGTAACATTGCGTGACATGACTGGCAAGAAACGCGTTATAAAACTCTTCGTATTTTTTTTTTTTTAACCAGAAGTGACTAAGCAGGAACAAAATGGAACGATGGACATAAAACTATATATCACTACCTTCATCCCATGTTAGGTTGCGTTACGTAACGTCACGATTCTAATCCTTGCACTTGTGATAAGTGAAATTAAAAGTGCCCTTACAGTTCTGCATGCGTTCCCGGTAGATTTCCCAGTGCGTTATAATTTGCGTTCCTCTGAGTTCCACTAGTGTTCCCATTTGTGTTTCTTCGTACAGAAAATTTTAGTTGCCTTTCCCTCCCTTCCCCGTACACACCCACCTCCTCACCCAAGCATTCTCGGTGCATTCCCTCCGGCATTGAACGAGTTTAATTCTCAACTTAAACGGGGGAGTTTAATTTATTTTGCTTTTCCTTTGGACCTTCCATTCATCTATCAGTCTATCTCTTGTCCAATATAGGGGAATACCTGCTGGCAAAGGGGTTTTAATCCAATTCTTTACTTTCTAAATTGAAATCTCTTCTATTTTTTTGGGTATAAATCTACTAGCGTTCTATCACGAATGCCGTTCTCTGATTGGCTATGCTAATCACTCTCTATTCTGTGATAGATACTCAGTAGCATAGCAGTGTGCGTTTGTTAACAAAATGACGGTCGCTTCCTTGCGTTTTCGAAGTGTCTGTGAAGAAGATTTAGATAAATTTTTGAACGACTAGTAGATTTATACTAAAACAATTAGATTATTCGCTCTCGATTTCTATCAACTATCACGCGATAGAAATCGAGAGCTCATAATCTAATTGTTTAATAGAAACACGATTTCTAACGAATCAGTGCGCGTATTTTCTTAGAGCGTACCTTATAGACGTCGAACCGTGTGATGATTTCATCAAATGCAACGTTCAGATCGTTTAGTAAATCCACAATCTGCAAAGAAAATATTTTATCATTTAGCTAGGAAAAGAATTGAACTCATTTTGTCGTTGTATAATATCACTCCGGCTTTTCGTTTTCGCGTGGCTTTTAGAAAACGATGTAATCAGTCTAATCACGATAATCATCTGATTTCCCTGACAGAGTTTCCTTCAAACAGAAATCCAAAATGACCGTTGATTGATGCGTTTTCAAACTCCACCGGCATGGTACGAACGGCGTTTTAGCTGGGGCAACGAACTGAACGCCTGCAAGAGGTTAAGAAAAACTGGTGAATACCTCGAGTGGTTTACTGGAAGAAGCCAGCTTGGTGAATCCAACGATATCACTGAAGAAAATGGTGACTTCTTCAAATTCCTCAGTTTGTACCGAACTGTGGATCTTTAACTGTTCTGCGACCAACCTGCGGACAAACTAGATCTTTATTACGAAGGTTAGAAATAGCTTGTAGATTTGGTGTTTTAATCGCAGTTTTCTTAGAACATCAATAAATTGTGAATTAAGACAGTCTTCAGCTGGCACAACCACCTTTCTTCTCAAAAATTTCGGATGATTTTAATTTCGGACAAAAGAAGTGTCCGAAAATAAAACTGTCCGAAATTTCTAAGCGTCCAAAATATATGCAGTACAGTAGAAAACTTTTAAGTAGCTCCAAAACTCTTAGTTTCCTTTTATGGAGCCGCGAACTCTGCTTGAGACACTGATACGTAATGGCATGCTAAAATTTGTGTTATTTTCTCGGCGATGTATCTGAAAACCTTGAGGGTGCAGTAAAACCATCATTTTCACAAATGTTATTTCAGCCTAATTCATGTTTTGTAGGCGTAAATTTACCTTCACTGTATTTCAGCAAATTGTCGGAAATTTTTGTCCGACATGACACAAAAACTGTATAAGTATAATGTAGTTAGCAATAGTACAAACGTATGAAAATCAGCCAGGAGAATTAGTATATCAATCTCATGAAAATGTTCAACTTACGGAGGAAGCAGACGATTAAGCAGTTTATCCGTTCGATCTTTCTCTTCGTTCAACTGCGTTGTTCGTTCATCCACGAGCTGTTCTAAATGATTGGCGTGCTTCTCCATCATGGATACCATGTTTTCAATGATGTTTGAACCCCTACAGTAAAAAGCAACAAATTCAACACTTTAACACAAATCATTTCTCTTTTTTTTTTCTATCATAAGTTTGTTATCTGAGAAATATGATTATCAACAAATAGCTACAAGTAAATAGAAAAAAGACTACCAATCACTTAACCGAACTTTTAATACACGACTAGCTGAAAATATGACAACTGTATAAATGAAAATTTAACAAAATGTGTTTCTCCAGCAACTTGCCGTTTGCATGTTTTCCCGCGCTCTTAGGCCGCGCTTTGCACCCCTTATTGTTTAGGTCCGGTTTTTCGCCGTCTTTACCGCTGGTTACATGTTTTCCCGCGCTCAAGATCGGTTACCTTTTTT